TGATAACATTACTCAACAAGAAAGGATAGCATTAAAAGATTTAAAAGAAATGAAAAATATAGTTATTAAAAAAGCAGACCAGGAAAACACTTTTATTGTAATAAATTCAACTTATTATAATGAAAAACTAGTTCATCAAGACCACCTGCTCTCCGCAAATACTTATAAAAGGACAAAATCTGAATCAAATAAAATAGTTTTTAGAGATCTAATAAAAATGATAGAAAAATATAATTTTCTAACAAAAAATGAAATAAATTACATCACAAATTTTAAATGGAAATCTAGTAGTTTCTATATAACTCCGAAAATTCATAAATGTCAAGAAATTATAGACAAAGTGAACGCATCTAATTCACTTTATATCGAAATGAAACCACCAAATGATTTCAAAGGTAGACCAATTATTGCTGGAATTAACTCACCAACATCACATTTAAGCCAGTTCTTACATATAATTTTGTCTCCAATTGTAACAAAACAAAAAACTTTCATTAAAGATGATTGGGATTTCTTAAGAAAGATATCAAGAGCGTTAAATTCGGATAGTTGTATTTTGACTTGTGACATTGTTAATCTATATACTAGCATTCCACACAATCTAGGTTTAGAAGCATTAAAGTACTGGATTAAAAAACATAAAAGTTTAATAGGTAAAAGATTTACTCCTGAATTTATCATTGAATCAACATACTTTATTTTAAAACATTTGCCGAAACATTTGGTCGTTCGTCAACGACCAAATGTTTCGGCAAATTATTGGAACAGCCATGGGTACGAATTTCGCTCCAGATTATGCATGCCTAACAATTGGATATTTAGAAGAAACAAGACTTTTTCCTAAGATTTTACCTAAATACTTTTCCAGTAAAGATGTAAATGACATACAGGAATTTTATTATAGATATATTGATGATGGTTTCTTAATCTGGCCAAAACATTTAGATATCGTTAAGTTTAAAAACTCTTTGACCAAAATAGATAATTCAATCAGTTTTACAACAGACATAGGCAAAGAATTTATAATAGATGGAAATACTTATAATATTATTAATTTCTCAGACATATCTATCATTCTTGAAAACAACAGAAAAATAAAAACGGATATTTATTATAAAGAAACCAATACTCGCGACTACTTAGACTACAACAGCCATCATCCTTATCATATAAAAAAGAACATCCCTTATGGCCTTGCTAAAAGAATAATTGTTTTCACATCTGATTATAATAAAAAAAAACAACGTTTAGCAGAACTAAAAACGTGGCTAAAAGAATGCAAATATCCTAATAATATTATTGAAAAAGCATTTCACAACGCAAAACTCCAAGGACCAGCTCCCCAAAATCAATCAAAAAAAAATTTTACTTTAATTACCACTTTTTACAGCAATCTGAACTGACAACCTTTTATTACTGAAAAAAATCTTTTGCTTAATCTATCTTCAAATGAAAGAGTGAAAGAAGTTTTTTCTAATGTCCAACCAGTAATTGCGTATAAACAACCACCCAATCTACTCAGAACACTTTCTTCTTCAAAAATTCAATCAACCACTAAAGAAGTAGGATTATTTAAATGTAATGATAATCGTTGCAAAATATGTAAATTCTACCTTCAAGAAGTTAAATCATTTACGACATGGTACTATATGGAACATAAAAAGCCATATTACTTGTAATAGTAAGAATGTAATATATTACATTCTTATTATTACAAGTAATATGGCTTTTTATGACAATTTTTACATGACAAACATTTTAAATAATATATATATATTATTTAAAATGTTTGTCATGTAACAAGAAAGCTACATACACCGGAAAAACAAATACCTTATGACTTTGCACTAATGGGCACATTTCTAGTTGTAGAACTGGGCAATCAACAGATAGGTTTGATAACCATGTATACAATTGTCAACGTGCGCATAACTCCATTATAAAACCTTTTTTCCAGCTTTTTGTGTTTGTGGAGCTAAAAAATGAAAAAAATCTAATTTCTTATGAGAAACATTTTCACAACCAAAAACATGATACTTTTAATTGACATTACAATATAGATTACAATAGTTGCTGACAGCAACATTAAATAATTATCATTTCCTGTTTTTAAAAAAAATTATGTTTTGTTTGTTTTTAAAAAAAATTATTTTTTGAAAGGCCTCTAGTGCTAAAATTTATAATTAGAGTAATTTTTGTAAAATTAAAAAAAGAAAATCTTTCGTTTATTGTTTATTTTGTTGACTAATTTTTTTACTAATTGGTTATAAACATATTTCAAGTTATATATATATATATATATATATATATATATATATATATATATATATATATATATATATATATATATATATATATATATATATATATATATACATATATATATATATATACATATATACATATATATATATATATATATATATATATATATATATATATATATATATATATATATATATATATATATATATATATATATATATATATATATATTTACCCAGATCAATGACTTCATATATATATATCTGTATATATATATATATGTATATATATACGGGCCCTTTTTTTTTTGCAGGAAAATTTTTTTTTTCTCGCCAAATATTTATTCGAAAATTTTTTCTCTTTGCAAAATGTTTTCAAAAAATTAATAAAAATTTAGGCAATTTTTTATATATCTGCCTAACTTCCCCAAAGCTGTTAGATGTTACTATACATTAACGAGGTTTATCAAGAATTATTTCAGTTTTTTTGATTAGATTAGAATTATAAGTATCATCTGCATTTAATTCTTTTTCTGCAACACCATTGTTAAACTTATCTCTTGTGTCTTTTCCATCAGAAGTACTGGATCCGTGCGCATTTCCTTTGTCTGATTTTTCACCTATTGAATCTATTTCAAAATTATTTTCAGCTCCGACATCAATGTTACAGTTATGCTCTCTGCAATACTCAATTTTAACATTAGAAGAATCTTTCTTTCCATATCGAAAAAATTTGGTTATTGATTGACTACCAAGAGATTCTTTTGATCTTATCTCGTTTTTAAGTTTTTTTATTTGAGCTCCAAGTTTATGTTTTTAATTTGAGTTTTACATGGTGTTTGAATAACTTGACTACCTAAAAAAAATTTTTTTCTTTCAAGATATCATTTAAATCCTGAACAACAGATGTATCTTTTAAAAAAGTAAAAGTTTAGTTTTGGAACATAAGAATCATAATATTTTCAAATGATATATATGTCTGAACTCAAAAAATTTCAGAATAAATTATTTTCTTTTTTTAGTTAATGGATTTGATAACAAAATTCAACTTATGTAAAATGACTAACTTGAAAGATTATGGCTAACCAAACCAGCTAGCACACATACGTTGTTAAAAATTAGAGCAATGTCGCGCGTTTCGTTGACCCAACATCGGCTGCCAACGTTGTTTTTATATCATTATGGTTAAAAATGCGACATCGCCAACAACTAAAAACCAATGTTGATAAAACGTTGATAAAATGTTGATAAAAAGTCGGAAAATGCTTATATTTTCTACGTTAATTCAACGTTTTATTTTATACGTTAGCAAAACGTTGTGTTTTACGTTGTTTCAACGTTGTATTTTAAGTTGGTACAACGTCGTATTTACGTTGATTCAACGTTGAACTTTAATTAGCAAAACGTGTTATACAACATTATTCAGAATATATATATATATATATATATATATATATATATATATATTATATATATATATATATATATATATATATATATATATATATATATATATATATGTATATATATACATATATCTTATACTGCTGAGTTAGGTGAGCATGATGATGTCATACTCACCTAACGTCAAATAGCCTGCTGCCGGGGGCTTCAGTACATACATCAACTGACAAATAGCCAGGGTGCGGATTCACAACATTTGCGTAACTCTTGCGTAGCTGAGCTAAAGTTACGAAAAACTTACGCAAATAAATTTTTTCGTAACTTTTCGCAGCATTTGCATAAAGTTAAGGTTGCGTTTGAGTTGCGCAAAAACTTATGATTATAGTTTAAAATCATTTGTTATAATTAATACAACTCTATCTTTTCATATAATTACTTTTATGATATTATTTTTTTAAATTTTATTATTTCTTATATATATATATATATATATATATATATATATATATATATATATATATATATATATATATTATATATATATATATATAATATATATATATATATATATATATATATATATATATATATATATATATATATATAAGAAATATTTTTTTTTTTTTCTTTTTTAAAAAAATAAAAAAACAAAAGTAATTATATATGTTTAGATATTTTATATACATATTATACTATATAGTGATATTATATAGGAAACCGTGTAAATATTGTTAGTTAATGGTGTCTTTAAAATTATTTCCTTATTAGTTCTTTATTGAGTGATTAGAAGATTTTACTGATCTAACGATTACTCAAGAAGATTGTTAAAAAATAGTAATTATTGTTTCAAACAACTTATACTATGAACGCGTATTTTTCCTGCTATTGGATCAGTATACTAATTGCTCAAGAAATGAGCTAATAAGGAAATAATTTTAAAAACATAAATATGTAAATTAACTAATGATGTCTACACTGTTCACTATATAATATCTAGTGAAATCATGACAGAAAAGCTAGCAAAATAAAGCTCTTTAAAATAAAACAAATAACATTTCACTATTAAGAAGTAGGTACTTTGTTTTTATGTATATAAAATATATGTATAATATATATAAATATATCTGCATTATATATTTATGTATAGAGTTATTTTATGTTATTTTAGTATAATGATATGGTAAAAATGTATCTGCTTATATTTTGACAAAATTTATTATTCTAGTGTAAGAAAACATTAAAGATTCGAAAAAAAGAGCTGAAAATTGGACGATTGAACAGTTAACTCTTTTGATTAAGCTCTACAATGAGAAAAAACAATTGCTTGTCAACTGCATCCTCAATAATTACTACGTTGTCTGGATCTTCTAAACCAAGTGAATTGCACATGTTTTCGAGTATTACACAAGTATAAATTATTGAGCAGCACTTGGATGGGGTATATTGAAGTGTTCCACCACTTTTATGTAGACACCTCCATCGGTTTTTAAGACGGCCAAAATAACGTTCTATTTCACTTCGAACCCTTGAGTGAATTTTGTTAAACAAGATTTCTTCAGGGTTTCATGCAGGACTAAATGGAGTAATCATGACAGGTGATAACCCATAGCCTGAATCACCGAAAAGAAAACCTGAAGCTGGATCAAGCTCCAATGTTTGTTTCAAAGTTGAATTTGAATAAACAAAAGCATCGTGACACGAACCTGGAAATTTGATAACAGCATCTCGGAACTGTCTATCTGGATCAACAACAAACTGGCAGTTTATAGCAGAATAGCCCTTTCTAAAAAATAAAGTTACACATTATGCTCAGTAAAATCAATGAATTTTTATGAGTTAGAATACAGACTCTGAAACTAAAACTTTTTACATCTGATCATTTTAAATCTTACAGAAAATAAATATGAATAAAAAATAAATGTTTGCATCTGGTGGTTGGATGGTCTAGGGGTTGAATTTGAAGCATAACTTCAAATTCAACCCCAACCACATGATATTCGAATTGGCTCATTCCGAATAAAAAAGAAGTGTATGTCCTCTAAAAAAAAAAAGAAGATCCTCAAAACTTCTGTGGGTCTTAGCTAAAAAAGTGGGGGTCCTTTTTTCTTGCCCCCAGCAGCTGAGCTATAGACCCATAGCTGGAAGGAGATCATCAATCATATTATTTATCTATTATTCTATCTATTTGTATCAATCCTACTTATAGATTACAGTAAACTATTTTTTACCTGCAAATAAAAGCTGGCTCATCAGCCCCTGTGGCTCCTTTGATGGGCACCATTGTACCATCAATTAGACCCAAAAGACCCTTTACTCCCCAAGCTTCAAAATATCTTCTTTTTACTTCAACCATTTCCTCTTGGCTACTGTACCGTTTTACAAGATAGCTGTAGTATTTAATAAAAAATTTACAAAACTGATGAATAACTTTACTGGTGCTTGTCTGGCTTATTGCAGAAGTGTCTCCTAAATTTAAATAATAATAAATTTTAAAAGTTTCATTCAGATGTAGAAACCTCTGAAATGTTTATATTTACCAAAACATTTTTAAACATTTATGGTTTTATAAAAAATATGTAAACTCGCTTAGTGATAAAATTTGCGTTAATTTTAAAGATCATATTTGGTTTTTGTGTCTTAAAAAAAACCTACATTAAAAATGAGATTAGCTTATTCATTAGCTTATTCATTATTTTTGTATAACAATATTAATGCAGTTTTACATATCAAACACATAAATCAATTTAAACATATTAAAAGTACTTACCAATAGTATTTTAAAAGCTTCCTGTTCCTAGAAATCTAAGGGCAACAAGAACTTTTGTTTCTGGTGAAATGGGATTGTTTTTATCTGTTTTTGGAGACAAATCAACTTTTAGAGTGTTAATAATTTCTGATATTTTATGCAATGGTAATCGAAATTTTCGACGACATTCAAAATCTGAAAAATCATTAAGGACAGTGCGCTGAACTGTTCTCCAATTTTGATTTTGTAATTGAATTTCTTGAATCAATTGAACATCCATTTCACTTAAATTAAACTTGAATTTTAAACTAGTCAATATATCTTTATGGTAATTTAATAATTCTATTGCAAACAGGTATATTATATTTAAATAAAACATAAAACTTTTTTAATACTGTGATTGTTTGAGCTAAACTCGGGTGGTTCTAATTGTTTTTTGTTTTAACGGGTGATGCGTAATTAGTGACACAAAAGTTAACTTAGTTTTGCTCGTAATATAATCTTTTTCATTAAACCATATAAATTTATTTTGGTAAATTGAATATTCTAGTTTTATAAAAAAAAAAAATTATCCAAAAAAAATGTTAAACGGCCAAGAAAGAGCAGCTCTTCAAAAAAGCGTCAAAAATTTTTTTGTAAAAAACCCAAAAGCGACCAAAGCCGAAGCCGCTAACCATTTTATTAAAGAAGGAATCGCTCGCAAAACAGCTTATAGATATATCAATCGACAGCTTGCTGGACAATGTTTAAAAATAAAAAAAAATTCTAATCGCCCGTCATCGTGGACTCAAGAAAAAAAAGCGAAACTTAAAAGGTTGACCAACAATCGAAAAGATGTAAGTCAAAGAAAGCTCGCACGTAAATTCAACGTAAACCTAGCAACAATTTGTAGACAATTAGCCAAAATGAACATAAAATATCGGAAACGCGAAAAAACATCGAAATACAATGATGAACAACGTCTAAGGGCACAAAAAAGAAGTCGAAAACTTGTCAATCACCTCTACAAAGAACAAAGCGTTTTAATTTTGGACGACGAAAAATACTTTTGTTTTGCTGGCGATGAAATGCCTGGAAACGCCGGTTATAACACAAACGACAAAGAAAAATGTCCAAAAAATGTTCGTTTTATGGGAAAAGAGAAATTTCCGAAAAAAATTCTCGTTTGGATCGCATTATCTGAGCGTGGAATGTCGAAACCACTCTTCCGGTCGTCAACCTCGGCTGCAATAAAATCCGAAATTTATATCAAAGAATGCTTAGAGGAACGATTGTTGCCATTCATAGATAAGTATCACGATGATTTAAATTACATAATTTGGCCGGATTTAGCTTGTGCCCATAGAGCTAAAGTGGCAATATCTTGGATGAATGAAATGACTAACTTCGTGCCGGTCGATATGAACCCTCCTAATGTCCCCAAAGCCAGGCCAATCGAAGACTTTTGGGGAGTATTGGCTCAGAATGTGTATGAGGGTTGATGGGAGGCCAAAAGTGAACAACAACTAATTCGGCGTATCGAAGCCTGTCTGAAAAAAATTGATTTGACATTTTTACAATCCCTTATGAAGGGTATCAAAACTAAATTGAAATTAATAGTCGATCAAGGCGTTCAATCGATTTACAAAAAATAATTTTAAAAAAATAAATATTGTGTTATTATTTTTAAAAAATGAAAAATTTTTTTTCTTTTATTTCTTTAAAAATATAAGGCTTTGATTTTTGTGTCACTAATTATGCATCACCCATTATATATATATATATATATATATATATAGTATATATATATATATATATATATATATATATATATATATATATATATATATATATATATATTATATATAATATATATATATATATATATATATATATATAGATATATATATATATATATAACATATATATTATACTGCTGAGTTAGGTGAGCATGATGACATTCAGTACATACATCGACTGACAAATAGCCTGACTCGCAGTGGAGGGCTGCTACATCGACTGAGGGTTTGGTATGGGTCAGCAACCTTTTCATTCATTCTTCTTCGTTTTCCCTCATCGTTTTCTCACGATGCTCACTTGATTTAGGCTAGCAAAAAAAGTGAGCATTTGCGCATATAAATATACTATAGTAGATATATATATATAATATATTATATATATATATATATATATATATATAATATATATATTATATATATATATATATAAATATATATATATATATATATATATATATATTATATATAATATATATATATATATATATATATATAATATATATATATATAATATATATATATATATATATATATATATACATATAATTATAATAGTATATATATATATATATAGATATTATATATATTATATGTAGTATATATATATATTATATATGTATATTATATATATATATATAAAATATATAATATATTTCAATAATAGAACTATCATTTAACATTATTAAGGATACTTTGTAGTGTATTGAACAAAATCTAAAATCTTTTACAATAATATAAACGCTTTTTTTTATTTTATTGGATGATTTGTAAGTTACGCCAGAAAATAGCAGACGTAACTTTTCTTGCTTAAAGTTTGCTGAGCACTTTTTAGGAAAATGTTGTGAATATCGATTTGTTTACTTTTTGCGTAAATTTTGACTTACGTAAAAACCTAAGTTTTTGAACGCAAAGAGTTTACGCAAGGTTTGTGAATATGACTTTGCGTAACTTTAAACTTAAGCAAAAAATTTTCACTTACGAAAGTGTTGTGAATCCGCACCCTGACTCGCAGTGGAGTGCTGTTACATCGACTGAGGGTTTGGTATGGGTCAGCAACCTTTTAAATTTATATATATATATATATATATATATATATATATATATATATATATATATATATATATATATATATATATCGTATATATATATATATATATATATATATATATATATATATATATATATATATATATATATATATATATATATATATATAAACTTAAATTAGCAAAACGTGTTATACAATATTATTCAGAATATATATATATATATATATATATATATATATATATATATATATATATATATATTATATATATATATATATAATATATACATATATATATTTATATATTTATATATATATATATATATATATATATATATTATATATATATATATATATATATATATATATATATAATATATATATATATATATATATATATATATATAATATATATTGTATATATATTGCATGGGGTAGTACCGAAAAAAGTAAACTACAACGTCTATATCGCCAACAGAAACATGCGATTCGCGTGATTAATTAATTGGATCGCTCTACACATGCAAAGCCTTTCTTTGATGAAATGAAAATACTTAATGTCTACAAACTTAATGTTTTCAATGTTTTATGTTTTACTTATATGTGGAAAAACAATTTATTCCTACCTGTTTTTAACGACCTTTTTACATTAAAACTTACTAATAAGTACTCACTAAGAAATAAAGATTTGCTAAATGAACCCTTTTGTAGAACAAATTTTAATAAATTTTTGTATTAATTATAGAGCGCCTTACCTTTA